AAACTGGGAAGCGGCAAATCAAAGAGCTATCATAGAACACACAATAGGGAAAGAAGTACTACCAACATAAAATCACGCAATCATGCAACCCGTTTTGTTTTTTCACTGTTCAAATAGGCATTTCTAAAAATATTTATCGTATTTCACCGTTCATAACAATGATGCATATCGCATGGTCATTGTGCCCCCCTTTTTCATTTAACGAGCAGTCACAATCCCATGCCAATGCATGTCAGCCTCCTTACATAATATTCTCCAAAATCAGCTCCGTGAAATATTTACATTACACGTGTCCTATAGATGACGCACATTGGGGTGCACGTGTACACTTGCGAATCCATTTGCATCCGGAGGTATGTACATATCAGGGGATACAGTTGTAATGTGTCCTCCGCACACAACAGTCTATTGGACCTGTAACAGGTGTCTTTGCATGTACTTAGCCCATATGACCACATGCACCCAGTCAAGGCTGTCCATATGTATTCGATCATTATTGAAACCTACGTTGTGGTTAGCTCTGACTACGGGCTATTTCTCATCAATCGATCGTGAAACGCACATTTGCGCATCATAATGTATTAAGTGTGACACGTTTCGAAATTTCTGCTTCCGGACTGATTGTGGGTTGCATGCAAGCATGACTCCTTCTCCAGACCATCGTTTCTTTATTTACGTAGGCGGCAGTCAGCAGGATGCATAGACCTATGTGTGTCCACAATTTCATTTCTGTTTTCCCCATCTATCCATCCATCCATTCATCGATCGAAAGCTTGCTCGGACGACACGTTCTACTGTGACCCAGTTGAATAAAGTCTATTCCCGGGGCCCGGGTGACAGCGAGGGAAGCGCTGCTCCGTTTGTTTCTCTTCCCTATCCCAGATTTTGTGAGGTGACTGTATTCTTTTTCCCTCGGTTATGCAGCTTACTCATCAAATGGCGGTTAGAATTGACAACATTGACAACAGCAACAACTCTTATTTGACCGCAAATAAGACTGCATCCCAAGCAATATTTCGACTCGTGGATAAAGGTTTTCGAGGCAAAAACAGTGGAGCTAAAATTGAGTTGTTTGCCCCAAGTTTTGAGGCATACAAATGGCTTATCACATCCAAAGTTCTACTGGAAAAAACTATACCAACAATCTGAACCAACCTTGATTGTTTGAGTCAGCATACGCTTACAAAATATACAACAGAATCTCTCAGGAAACAACATTCAGTGGACTTTGGAGAAGCTTATTTAAGTTGGGAGCCAAAACCGTTAAATCTGACCCGGCACAATATCGATATTCGTCACTTTTGGAACAAAATTACAGCAATTTAAATGCTGACTCGAAACGCATTTACGTAGAATCATGATCAACCAGGTGAGTGCGTATTATACATTCAAACGTAAGGCCGAACCGTTCTGCTTTTGATGGGGATACAAAGAGCTTGCAGTGCAGAGGAGATTAACCGCAGACGAGCCATTCGTTGAACCAACTTTTGCTCTCTACTACATTGTCATTTAGCCAGTTGTATAGCGACTGTGAGGAAGCAAACTCATTCCCATGAAGCCTAACACACACGCACCCGAACAAGCAAAACAACACTAACAATGTCTGACGTTCGTCACTTTGACCAAGTTAGTTCATACAAACGAACCTCAATTTCGGTCATCGACTCGCGGACAATGAGCAGAGCAAAAAACATGGCAAACTTTTAAGAATAATATATCTTGTGGTTGTTGCTATTGACTTCCATCTTCATACATTCATTTCTGCCGAATTCATCGAAACGTTCATCCCATTGAGATTTGGGAATTACCACCAATGTCGCCCGAATTGCTCACTAATCACTAATCAACCCGTGTGATTGCCCCGGATGTCCCCTGTGTGATAACTACACAAATGAGACGTTTTTATTTTTTCACAATTATCAAATCCTATTCTCGGTGAAGGGTCAAAAAAGTGATATACACACCTTTCTTGCCAAAGAAATCTATGGTGGAGACACCTCTAAAGATATCGATCCGGTGCACTCAATAAGAAATCGGTTATATGCATCACAAAGTTCTCTCTTTTCACGGTTTTCATGTTGCACAACCAACAAAACATTTGGAATAATTGACAAAGTAGTGAAATTTGGTTCTCGTAGCTCAGGTGAGCAAATTTATTTTCGCCTTCTTGCTCAGCTTGGTAATTCGTTTGCAAATGTTTCATCACCAGCTGATCTGACATTCTCAGTGTTTGAATAATAAATACCGTTCCCCATTTTGGTGCATCACAAATAATTCTGGCCTAGATTTGAGGCATCAATTGGGTAGTTTTTATTATCAACATGCAAATAGGAGCAAATGATCGCAGTGGATTCCAGTAAGGCTTTGCAAAGAATCTTACCCAAAATGTCGATTTCACATCCAAATTGATCTGAGTGATTGCTTCCACACTAGCAACATAATGCTATCATGTTCTTTCTGTAAAATTAACAGGTTTTTCAGATAACATATTGAAACTGCTAAACGGTGCCGGACGTTAGAAAACGGTGCTAACACGCTACCTCTCTTCCTGTGGGTAGCACTCAACTTAGCTTACCGATGACCTGTGACTAATGATGTCGAATCCAATGTTTAGTGATGCAAGTGATGTGCTTTTCGCGCATACATCGAAATCAGTCATTACCGTGCGCTTTAAATGAGAAGGATATGGGAGTTATTTTTTTCTAGGATCTCGGATTTTTTCATATATTGTGCTACTGCGTCATCAATGGCTTCGAAGGAAGTTGAATTTTGGAACCGTTCGATATAGACCAATTGCCTCATTTACTATCAGCATACTTTAGACCGCACACCTAGTTCGGTATCCAGGTTTGAATCTCTAGCTAAACCTTAACAAAAGCAACCAGTACGGATAAAATGTTACAATCCAAGACCTAAGTTGAAAGGTTGTATATCCCGGAACTCGATCCATCTCAGTACCACCGAATACGGGGAGACATCAACCTGGTATATCAAATACTACATCAACCTAACCACCTGTGTGGCGCTCTACTTACACTATCCAGGAATTATTACATCAGGGGACAACCACTTAAACTGTTGCTCCAAAAAAGTCGGTTAGATTACAGGCGTCCTTTCTACGATCCCACCTTAAGTTGTTTGTACTCCAGCCATCGGTTAATTCAGGTCCCGGCATGCAACATCTAATTGTTCAGCGCCCGTGGGTGAATGTGATAAATTGTTACTTCATTGTACTACCATTCGAACCCAGTTTGAGATTCCATAACCTCCAGATTTGTAAAATACTCATAATAAAAAATGGAACCTAAATGGGGAATAAGTAATGCTAGTAATAACATAAAAATAGGCAAAATAGGTGGTCCATGTCTGAAGGGCTTTCTCGTGTTTCGCATTTACATCAACTTTGGTACAGTGCAAATCTGTGAGTATTCGGCGACAACTTGATTTACAGTTAGAGCCGCTTCATGTTGACAGTTTGAACTCGGAAATCTCTTCAGAATAGTAAGATTATGGGAAACTAAAAGTCAGCACTCAAATAAGCACTGATGAAGCGATCAGCCTTTCATACCGTCCGAACATCTCCGTAATACATTCTTCAACATTCACGATTCGTTTTGATGCACATGTATTGTGTGATGGTGTTGATACATGCTGTTTATGTGTTCAGTTGCAAGAATGTGAAAACACGTCAGATGTGGCGTATTCATCCGAATTCCTGCTCCAAGTTTCACTGCTCTCGCTCCACTTTGATGCTGGACAGCTGCAAAACTACTCCACATAACATCGATCAACTTTTCATTCATTGGTTTCGGGCAATATGTGAACGTTAACCTCAGGCTTGAAGTAATCGTGATTCAAAGAGATACAATAAGCTATCACAACGAAAATATGAAACAAACGGTACTGAATGGGATGTAACTTTCGCCTATGTTTCATTAGCTCAGAAACTATGGTTCGAGATTCGAGCCCCTCTACCGTCGTCCAACTTTGGTGGTGGGCAGCTTTGGCGTCACCGGAGTTAATCCCACAAATATCCTAGCGGGGCCTTGTGTGGTTTCTCCACTCCAAATCCTGGGGCTTAGGTTTCCATCACTGAACAGCAGGTTCTCGTGACTATGGGTCTGTTCATCGGATTAAGATGTGTTATAAAAAAGGTGCTGGCTTTTCTTAACATAATTATAATGTATTGGAAATTTTCTATTTTCCCTATTTTCCCCACATGCGAACTGTGTTTCGCTTGAATTTCACCCTAAGACAGCAGCAGAAACCAGAGATTGTCCAAAATACGTTCAGTTGAACATTTCGTGAATATACTGACAAATGGAGCTGAATTAGATCACAGAATAACTGTTATTTGAGAATAAAATCATTCACAACTGTATTAATGCTGATGACATCGAATGGTATCCATAGATTGGGTTGGCTACGGCATGTGTCGCGCATGTCATCAAATAGATTGCCGTGGTGCGCGATGTTTGCGGAGGCAGTTAGTGGTTGGAAAATGGTCCAATGCGACCATGGAAGTATGAAAACCCTAATCAGGAAACTCGGTTTTATGGGGAACCGTTTGGCTCCCTGGAGGGCTACCCCGAGATCATGATAACCGGTGATTTGAGACGCTATTGTGACTGAGAGTCGCAAACAGTGGTGCTCTGGCATCTAATCATGTTCCTTACAATCCTCAATCTATACGAACTCTCCATCTTTTCAGTAGCCCTGTTCTCAACCTTTTGATCTTCCTTCTACCGTTTTGCTCTAAATGGGCAGGTAAAAGACGGTCATCAAAACCGCCGCACAAATTTACATGGTTAATGATTTTTAAAAACTGAAATGAACGAAACCGATCCTGAATACGGACGGGATAAATATTTCATACTGATAAAAACAGTTCATTGCAGATCGAGCGGTTATATTTTATGTTGCAGAATATTTTATGTTAGTGCTGCTTCGGCATGTAAGTCAAAAGAAAATTATTCTCATTGATCACGAAATCTTATCTACATAAATTTTGTTTATCTCATTGCCTACAGTTCCCATGACGACTGATTTTAATTCTGCAAATATAAATTTATTTTGTCTTGCATTTTTCAGCTCCAATGTTTACATATCACCGGTGGAGAGATTGTGAACGCGGATTGTACTCAACGAGCGGACTTGTTGATTGTAGAAGGACGCGTAGCGTAAGTGCATGCCCCATTGCATTCCATATTGTTTGTCTACAGTTCAATCGGTACGAAATTGGATGTGCCCAAAGGTTGTCCGACGATGGACGCCTCGGGTTTGCTGATCATGCCCGGCGGAGTGGACATAGCCACATACATTCAGAATGAATTGTTCGGCTTTGATGCCAGCACATATGAGAACACGACAAAGGAAGCCCTTTTGGGCGGAACAACAACTATCGGTAAGTACGGCTGTAATCGATGCCCGCTTTGTTGAAAAAGACTATCGTGCTTTCACGAATACGCTCCCACCAGAATAGAGTTGGTTACAGAGCAATCTACTGAAATGAAAATGAACTTATAGCAAGTGTGGGAGCACACATTTTGATAGTTGACCGGATTCGTGACAGGCAACGTATGGAACACATCTTTCAGGCTATCGGTGATATGTCAACAAGCTAAAGTTGCAGAGCGTATGAAAACGATTCTCGAACCAAAATAACTTCTGTCTGGCTGAGTTACCGGACTGGATTACTCCTCTGTCTTTTTCAGGCGTAAAACCAAAACCAATCGATCCTTTGCATTTTCCATTAAACAAGTGAAATAATGCACTTGTAAAATAATGTCAAATCTCCAATTCAATCCAATTTTACGTTTTATCTTCGAACTCTCCGGCTCCCTTAGATCATTCTCAAAGCACTTTGATGCAGCACCGTGACCGATGTCTATTCGTAGAGAAGTGGTGTGGCCAGGTTATCGCAATGTTCTGTACCAGCACCGTAGAAAACCTTAACATCAGAATCATTTGTGTACATTGCGTAATATGTATGAATGTCTGATTTCTCCTGTTTGCCCGCCCCGAAAGACAAGGGATAACCAAGTTCAAGACTGAGAACATTGGCACGCAACTGAGTATGTTGCGTGAATGTCATTGTTTGTATGCTACTCACTCCTTTTCTAATAACATTCTGGGCCAGAAATTCGGCTTGAAGTGAATCTGCAAATATCGATGAGGAGACAACGATTAATTATTTGCATAACACTTTTGCACTATTTTTTCGACTGTAAGCAATTCAACCGATTCATGGTAGCACCATGCCAAGTCGATTTGGTCCTTCTCTGCCGACATTACTAATTGCACATCATTATAGAAAAAAAACTGGCTAAATACCTCACCAAAAACGGCTGTGCACAACTGTTGGATGACACGCCATTTATCACAAACTGTCAGAAAATGGCCACATATGTAACAGACTAATTCCAACGACATGACTGAAATGTTCGGAACAAACCTAGATGATTTTGCATCAGTGTCATTCCCAAAATCATGAAACGAGTTGAGGTTATTCGACAAAAGACTGCATGAAGAAGTAAGCGCTTGCATTTCGGAATGTTTTCCTGTGGAGCATGAAAGTGGTTTAAAGTGATTATTGATTTGAAAAGCTCTAAGATTGTGCATAGAGAACTAATTTCATTGTGCTTTTGAAAGTTAAACAAGAACAGACACCCCGAGGCCGTTTTTAGTGGTAAGCACAGCAATTCAAGGATTTCGAAGCAAGCCGCTTTCCTGGGTATAGGAAAGAATTCACTATTTTGCTCCTGGTCAAAAGTGACACTCACAATGTTTTGTTTCAACAGCAGTTTGATTCGAAACGATTAGGTCTTTTCAAGAAAAACCCAGAGGTTCCCGCTACCTTGTGGGTCGGACTTCGGAACCCAAGGCTCTAGTCAGGGTTTCCAAAGAAAAACACCCCAAGTTTCCAGGCGTCCACTTCAGTTCAGTTCAGTTCTTACAGCCAATTGGGAAGAATGAAAATAAAATTTAATTCAACCTATTATATCATTGACTAGAACAGTCAAAATTGTCCCTAAACTTCTCGCTGGGATCAAACTCCTTCAGTTTTGTGCCGCACGTGAAGAGTGCGTGCGTGAGAATCAGGCTGGTTTTAGACCTAGTCGAGGTTGTATCGACCACATCTTCACTCTTCGTTAAATTCTAAAGCACAGACACTCCTATGGTAGACCCACCACTTCTATCTTCCTCGATCTGAAAGTGGCTTTCGACTGAGTCGATCGCTCTAAACTCTGATACTACCTTTCCCTGAAGAGTATGTCCGAAAAGCTTATTTCTTTTTTGTGATCTCCTAATACAAACAGCTAAAGCCGAGTCAAGCTAACGGTTGACGTTTGTTTGATTCACACCCTCAACTTGGACAGGCCAGGTCTGGCAACAACGAAGTAAAAGATAACGAATTATGGTGATGTTTATATCTTTATCCTGAGCGGAAGTTTGATGTCATGGTGGTGCCGCAAGTGTAGCAGAATGATGAAATCCATTCTAAATCTCGCTAGTCGTGCCGTGATGATCTCTTTACCAACATCACTTTTATATGTGATAGGGCTACTACGTTAACGTTTCGGCTCTCTCTAGATAATCATCACGGGAGTGAGTGCAGTCGCAGACTCCTGCTATTGTTTTATAAAGCACATATCATTTCTCGATACCTTGATCACCAAGTGATTGAGAGCATGTTTGGCCGCCTTTCAGGCCGTCAGCTTTACAGGAAAACCTGAAAGTTGAAGTTCTCTGATAGCACAGCTGTTATTGACAGCATTCTAGAAACAAATGAACAATACATGAAACAACCTATTTTTGTTTTAAAATGATGATAGTAAACATCACGGTTACTGCAGTTTGTTCCAGTCAGTAACATTCAAGATAGGTTAACCTTCGCTCCGAAATACACGCCAATAAAATCGAACGATTTCTGTTGGAAAACTCATTTGTCCTCTGAGTACACAAATCAAGTTCCGAGCTCACCTGAACGAACTTACCCGCAGCCGCTTGTCAGAATTTCTATTCACTATTATTTGGTTTCCGTTCGCGCTACCTCCAAACCGCGAGTTAAAATTTTCTGTACTTCATTTTTCTCCAAATACCTACCACCTGACAGCAAAAGGTATCCGACTTATTCAATAAGAAAATCAAATGAAGTTTGAGAATTCCCATAGATTCACCATAGATTGACACGAAAAACACAGAACATTCCTCCTAAACGACTACATTGGAAAACTGGCAAATCTATACATCGAATGTCTACAAATTTGGGCTTTTTGACAAAATTCTGTGGCATACTTTTGCTTCGTAGTTCATTTCACATCAATTATAATATGCTTTCGGATAAGGCAACTTGATATATTCTCGTTCTAGTTGAATGAACGGTATACCTGGGTAGTCGGAATTTCTTCTCCCCAGAACGATTTACTTTATTTTTCAACTATCCCCGAGGTTTGCACACACGTTCTGTCCTCATTTTCTTTTCCTTACCAATCTGTTTTCCAGTTGATACTGTGATCTGTCCGAAAGGTCGTCTTCCATTTGATGTTTTCGTGGAAACACGAAACCGGGTGAAAAATGCCCCAATTTGGTGCAACGTAGTCTATCGTGTGGGGATTATGGAGATAAGTGCACCTATTTTGGAACAAATGGAGCGACTGGTAAAACAGAATCAAATCAATTCTTTCCTAGTGAGTCAAACGGTATTGATTTCTTTCAACAATTGAAACTGCATTGATTTCGGAAGCCAAATGATGTAGGTCTGTGTGTCAATTTGCCAGTGTTAAAANAGAGTCAAACAGATACAAACAGGAAACTAGTTTATTGCGGGAATCACCGGCGGGCTGTCTTGGGCAAGATTACTTATCGCACTGTGCATGGTATATAATTCGTAATAAGTAGTATATGAATCAATGGAAAAAAATTCCCTGGAAGCACAAGACCGGTTTCGCGGTTCTTGCTACCGTCAGGCATGCATATCCCGTAAACTTTCGTCAGTTCATTCATATACTTGTACCCAGGAAGTATATATATATATATATATATTATATATATATACACCGCACTGTCGGGCGATTGTCCGATCGGATTCGTGAACATCACCCTGCATGGCTAAACACCGGAACGATTAAGTCACTCACCAATGCTGCGGTTTCACACCTAGCTGAAATTAATCACACTGTGGACTTGTTCGAGGCTTTCCGACCCCTGTATAAAGTTCGTGGGCGATTATCGAGGCAGATTCGCTCTCGGATGCTGGCTACAGCAGAAGCGGTGGGCATTCGTCTTCACAACCCCCCTCTCGATATCCAAAGACAATCTGTGCAAGCTCTAAGGCTTCCTTGGCCCACCTCACACACAGACCCTTTCACGTGTGAGTGAGTTTAAATACAAATCACACCATAAGTGGTTACTAGTAGAAAAGTTCGATATGTTCTACAAAGTGCATTCAATAACAAACGCAATTTGACTGTGTTTGGACAAGTCCAACTGACTGGCTAGCTATTCCCATTAATAGTTTACCTAATTAGTTTTGCACCATGCTTATGTGGCTACTTATGAGTAGACAAAGTGCGCGGGTATAATAAAACTGAGATGTTTCATCGTGTCGCTCATCATCATGATACAATTATGAGTATCCCCTTTTTATGTAATGAGTTACCGATTCGGTGGATAGGTCAACCTGTTTTGTAGATATTTCTCTATCAAACCATGAACATCCTTCTAAAAATCGAGGACCGCGTGATTAAACAATGTACTCTAGTTCATAATCGCCAAGGCGCAGGATGCCCAGTCAGATCCCAAGTTGAGTCACACTTCTGAGTACATCTAGTAACACGCAACCAATAAGAACCAATACATATCTCAATGAGATTTTTGTCAATGATTCTGTTACCTATCGAGACGGAACGTTTGGGTACTAAAAAGTCAAATAGTGGCTATATGGACTTTAAATATACGTTGGAATTGTTCGTGATAACCGAAAAAGAGCACTGGACAGCTGTTTCGGTTCAATTCTTGACAGGGTCGCAAAACGTACGCTGTGCTCACGAGTCCCGAGCAGTACTAAACGGCTATCCAATGCTCTTTGTCAGTTATCACAAATATATTCAAGGACGGGAAAAATTATCATCTCAGAATCTTCATTCGTCGTGATGGTTGCGTTAAACCTGTGACATTAATTAAGGATTGCAGAGTTACTTGTGTCTCAATTTGTTTCTGTGGTTTCTGAAATTCCGACTGATTCTCACGAAACAATGTTGAATGGATGCTTCTGATCTGACCGACAAGAAAAACATTACTAAAAACGAATAAGATTCAGTCGTATCCACTAGTAGAGAGTTTAATGATATCTAATTGCTACTCACAATATTTTCCTTGCTGTTTATGCGTGTTGAAAAAAAAATAATTTAGAGGATATAAGGTCTTGTGCAATGCTCCTTTGTTTGGAACAGGAACAATTTTTCATATGGATTACATTTTCTTTATCTGGATTTGTACTTTGACATGTATTCCGCTATTTTTTCAACGAGAGTAATGAATGTCTCTTCTAAAGCAATACAGCTGTAGAAAATTGCTTTCCACATAGCAAACGCGAAATGCAAGCTATCAGAATCCGAGTGGTTATCAAACAGTTAGTCAAAAACCAAACAGTAAAAGCCCCATTACGTATTTGTCAGTGATTTTCTCACCGGTCTTGTTCTTTTTTAGTTCTTGGTTTCCACCACAAACGATTCGAAAGGAAGCGGAGGAATCACAGTGGACCAATTAAGGATCGCATTGGAAAAGTGTCGTCTATGGGGAGTGGTGGCTTTTGTGCGTATTGATATTCAGTCGATCACGGAGAAGAACGATTTCATTGGTAAGCAAACAGAGGTACGTTTCTTCGATTATCTGCAACTCATCAAAGACAATGCCAGAACCATACCAATTACAACGACACTGATAGATTCGCTAATAATCAAATCATGAAGATAATGCGATGTTAAATTATCAGTCTGCTTCCGTAGAACTATCAGTCCATGTTCATGCCAAATCGGTCCAATTTTCTACTGATCCAAAATTTTCATTCAAAATTCATTCGACCATGGGTATTTTTGAGCTCCAAAAAGTGTATGCTTCATTATTCCCGTTCATTACATTTAATCATTTTCCAAAGTTCGAAGAAAGCTATTCAGACAAAGAAAGTGGGTAAGAATGTGCTGAAACAAAGCAATGAATTGTGCGCATGATTAGAACCACAACTAGAAACTAACAAAACCCAGTTTGACTTCAGTGCGAAACTGTTGTCCGAGCGATATAAGACAAACAATTCTATGGACCAGCACACGACAGACTTCGACGAGTTGTAGACCGACAGATAGGATACATCATCTCACTTCGTTACCCAACAAGAAAGGTCAACTGGGTCAACATCCTATGCAAATAGAGGTCATGGAGACCGGTTGCTTAAGTACATTCATTGTTTATGCATCCACGGGCAAGTTTGTGCATATTGAGAGTGTGTCGGCGGGCAGGGGGGGGGCAGCTGGGTAATGAGGAAAATGTCATCGGTCCGAACCAGCCGTCTGGTCTCATGAACAACAACTGGAATTCAGATATGATAGGTGACAAAAACTCTGGCGCGTGGAATCGAATAATGATTGTTCGCACGTAAACTCGAGGAGAAAAGACTGCAAACAGAAAAGCTACTCTTTTCATGATTAACTACATAATTTCAGCTTCAAATGAACCATTTTGAATCCACAATAATTTCACGTGAATCCGCCAGTTTCGTTTCATCAGGGATCCCACCACAAGATTGGTGTCTTAGATCCAGTCTGTCACGATGCCAGTTCACTCTGAAAAGAATTGATTTTTTTATTGAACTATCAGTAACTTATTTCATTTCACTAACGCGGAATGGAAATTGAAATATATATATTGCACTCCTTCGGAAGGCAAATGAAACAAAGTACACAAAATTGGAATACCAGTCGATAAAATAGGATGGCTTCATCGGAGCTTCATTGTGTGCCTCACTGAGTACTTTGACTGTGCTCGTGCATGGACAGATTCATGTGTGCAGTTGCACCCAATCATAGGGGAAGTATTTCATCGGCCCGTCTTATCGTGGCTCGCCTTACCCGATTAACAGCAACAGTACTCAGGTTAGATCATTTTAGACAAAACCTAACTCCATCAATGGTGGAGGACCTATTGTTTGTAGGGAATAATCAATCAGGTTATCACCCCACCAAAACCGTAATTCCCATTCAACAACTGCCTGTAACAGTACTGGTTTGGAACTCAGAATGAACGAGTTTCGCGATAGATCCCGTCCAATAGGTAACCTGTGATGAACAAAGTATCTATCACGTTGTTATGGTTCCCAAAACCGCTGTCTACGCCGTATTTCACGAGTCTGGTGGGGATACTGACCAAGCAATGCTAAGGTTAGGAGCAGAGTTTTAGGTAATCACGCCCGGCCACTGAAGTAACCTTCATAGACTCCGTTGGTTAGGGCATGTGTTGCACATGTCAACAAACTGATTGCCACGGCGCGTAGTGTTTGCCTGGGAAGGAGATTAGTAAACAAATCTGAAGGGGGGTTAGACTCAGATTTGGCACGAGAGTATGCAAACCCTAATCAGGAGAGTGAGTCATATAGGTCGTGTTAGGCTCGTCACATGGGGACCCCGAGATCGTGGTACCCGGTGATTAGAGACACTGAGTGATATGGCTGAGTGTCCTAAACAGTAGTACTCGTGCATCTACTCAACGTCTTTGCCTCCCGAGTCCTCATGAATTCTTTATTTTCACTCAGGCACCAATTGGAACGTCTCAATCTGCTGTTTACTCCTTCATCCCAACGGGTGGTCAACAGGCAGTAAACAAAACCGGCGCACGAAAGTGCATGGTTAAGGGTTGCGAAAGCTGAAACAACAGAGTGCGTTTAGTGCATTCAATTTTACATGGCATTGCACATGTTTGGAGAAAAAGAACCTTCCCCCGCGAACGCTTATAAATATTAGCTGATTTGGTCTATTACTATAAACAGTGCCATACTTGAGATCACTCTATTTCCTGATTGTATCCTCACGGACGTTTCAATGGAGATCGTGATCCAAAATAGCCGTATCCAAGTGATAGGATCATGCTTGTCCCCTAGAATACATTAAAATATCTTCAAGTGAATAATCTTTATATGATGATTATGATAACTGGTCATGGTTCATTATGCGCATCAGTCTCGAGCTCTTTTAGGTGAAATTTAAACAGATATTTTTGAAATCCCCCAAAAAATCATCCTATTTACACATCGATGGTATTTTCAAACCGTCTGTATGACATGTCACTTTATTTTGAGTGTCATAAAGATCTCGAACACCTTCCCTCCCCCCACCCGTACATTGTATTATTGATCCCTATTTTGTTTTTCCTGGTGCACAGGCGGAGGCGAAAATTCTAGAACAAGTACTTACAGCAGCGGAGGATACCAATTGTCCAATTGTGTTGACATCGCCACAACGAACAGACGCCATCGTGGGAGCATTCCGCGCCAGACGACAAATACCCCCAGTCCATGTGCAAGTGTGCTGTACGCCGAGCACTCTACTTCCGACAACCGAACACGACTTGGTGAGTGTGAACGAAAAGGAGAATTGAAACAATCAAGCTCTTTTGTACTTCCCTGTATTTACAGATGAGCTGAGAAATTTTGTGGAAATATATATTCAGTCAAGATAATTCAAGCAGAAAACTGAAGTGACCTTGCGTTGTTTGTGGTAAAAAGTACACTAGACTCGGCGCTACGATTTTAAACGGTACTTGTTCCCCGTCGCTCGTCATTTACTTCAAAATAAAGCGCGCTGCCAACTGGACAACTGCATGCTCCGTGTATCTTTTTATACAAGCAATACATTGTTAGTTTCGTTTACCGAAAGAGTGATCTCATTTGTGTAAACTCAATCTGCCAGAGTATCATTTCATTGTTGCAATCCAACCCATGTCCGTGTCGACTCTGTCGTATTAACATTGGGGTAATGAACTGAATCCCAGTGAATTGGAAAAACCATCAATTAGGATATATTTTCGTGCTTGAAAATTGATATACTAGCCGTACATCTGGACGTGATGGTTACCAGACCATCGATTATAATATAACAGTTTTCGCGATCATTTGAAAAGATTCAAATAATAACGTAATTAATTCACTCGAAAACACTGATTTCCTTCCCTAAAGTGGTTTTGTACATCATAAAAGGATCGATGAGTCCACAACAAAATGAAGTCTATTGTTTCTGGTAGATAAATTCATGTCAAGCGTGCACCGTGTGATTCTTTTTAATAGATTTGGCCGATTCATACAAAACACCCGTATACAAGTCCCGGGAACCTCCTTCGTGTGATAAGGACCAGTCGAATAAAAGCACGCCTCCATTTTGAAGGTCATAGGTCGCGTGATTTTAATGATTAGAACAAAGCACTAATTGCTTGACCTCGAGCGGGTGAAACCAATTTGATTGTGGTTCTGACTGGACAGAACTGCATACTGGAACGCTCTGAGCTTGTTCCAGACAGCGAAAACCATCAAGTAGGATTAGAAATGCAAGTTCAAAAGTGAGAAATTAGAATAGTTGCGATTCGCAAAGCTGTGCTCAGATTAACCTGACAAACAAAACGAGGAAGCAAAAATTTCAGTCATAGAGAACTGTTTTAAATTTTGTAACACAGACAATTTATTCAGTAACAATTTAATCGACGAATTTGCGCGCTTTGCTTAACAGGACTTACGTGCTGCTTAACACTTCCGTCAGCGCAAATGGTTTTAGTCAAGAGAATGCATGTCAAGGGATAATCAGAGTTTCAGTTCATTTAATATAACCTTTAACTATGCACTTTCGTGCGGCGATTTTCGTTGTTGTAATCAGCATCAACTTGAAAAAGGGAGAGGAGGCCGAACCACAAGTAATTGTGAACGGTGCATCAAAACTGTCGAATGGTGCTGAGCTAGTCATAATCTGTTTCGGATTTTTCTTTGACTTTTTGAAGGTACCTATGATCCTGGTAGATATTCGGTAATCCGAAAACATGAGCAAATCGAATTGCCAATCTCTTCGCTTTTACCCCATATACAGCAAACCCAAAGTCCGTTTCTCAATCACCTCGCTGTGGGTGACATCACCGC